TTTTTTTTATCATATAACTTTTTCATACAATATTTTATACATGTCTTTAAGGATTGACTTTTTTCAATTTACAGGATCCATGATATTATTTATGTTTACTCATTGAATTACATGTACAAATTGTACAAATTAAATAAATTATCTGTATATTATGGGGTCCTGATAAATTATCTAGATATTATTATCTTTCTAAAATAATAATCAATTTTTTTACCAAAATTTTGTTTCAAATTAATTATAGTATCATTTTTTAATTTGAGGAGGAGGAAAATCAAGACATCCTGAAAGTCAGGATGTCCAACCAAAATTACATGAGTAGTGAGACATAATATAAACTCCACTTTAGTCCATTTATTTTATGGATAGAATTGAATATCTTGACATATTTAATGTGAGAATATCCTGATTTTTACTTTTTTTATTTTAATTTTTAAGATGAACTAATATTTCCCCCATTCAACTAGTTGATCTTTTAATTTTTAAGACAAACAATTTAGATAAAAATTTATCATATCATATAGTAGATGACAACAGAAAATTTTTGTTGATGAAGTAAAATCAAGTAAATTAACAAGAACCATATATAGAAAAAACCATTTCTTAATTAGTAGAATTTCAAGCTACTACTTAATAAAAATATTATAATTAATTATAATATTATGTAATACTGTAAACTTATAATATGATATATCATTATATAATTAATTTTTTTTATTAAGGGTCTATTTATAATATTATATATATTTTTATTTATTTAATACCATATAAAATTGTAAGTTTACAATTTTCCTTGATACGGACTAATTAAAGACTGTACCTTGCTGAACACTTAATTTGTCCCCGGAATGGAAGGCTCAAGGGAGCTGTTCTCTAAATATTGGAATAAAGATCTGATCTGTTACATGATTATATGGAAAACATTTTCCGATTTTGAGGCTTCATTGTTTCCTCCTAGTAGAAAACTAGAAATTAAATTGATTCTGTCCAGATCCTGGATAACTACTTTAAAGTTTGAGCCTTGATAGAATTAGCTGCAATTGCTGATGATCTGAGACGTCTGTATATGGAAAATATTTTATTTTCCTCTTTTCTAGGCGTTTGGCATGCACAAGAAATAGAGGTCAATGAAGGTTGTTTGAGGTCAATGAAGGTTGTTTGAGGTCAATGAAGGTTGTTTGAGGTCAGCAAATTAAAAAGAGCAAGGCAAAGCTTTAAAAAGTCTATTAATTATTTTAATGTTTAGAATATATTAAATTATAAAATACTAATTATTAGATAAATGATTTTCTCTCAACATTAAAAGACTTTTTTTTAATCCAATTGTTGATATTTTATAATTCAGAATACAAAGTACTTTTATAAAATTTTAAAAATAACTTTCAGATTTTTAAAATGAAAGTTGTTTTCCAAAATAAAAATAAAAAAGAAAAAAAAAGAAAAAAAAGAAACACTCAAGCCATACCGAGTTGCATTGGGGTCGGTCGGGTCACAAGTCACAATCTTAGTTGTCCAAGTTTGGATTCTAATTGTGTCTCGAGCCTCCTTAAACCAACTCAAATGTTAGTTTTATTAACCTGTCATATTTGTATACACCACAGTCACCTGAATCTAATTTGTATGATATGAATTTTTCCATGCCAGCCAGAACAATCCTCCTTTTTAATATTATTTTTATTTTTCACGTGTTTCCCTTCCTTTATGGTTGAACTGGGTATGTACCACTCTACCTGATCTAAATAAAGCATATAACTTGCAGTACTCTTCTAAGCTTCATGAAAGAAAAATATACTGTATTATAATAAGAAAGGAAGAACTTAATTTGGCTGATTAAAAAAGAAAAAGGAAAAATTAAGGAAGAACATATCAATTTTTATGTCACATTTTCCCCTTTCGACGTGAGAAAATGAATTATTAGAAGCATACATCAAATATGTAACAAATTACGGTTGACATTTATCTTGTATCTTCATTCTATCAATTCACAACACGACATTGCTTCCTGATCTCTCCTGCAGTTCCGGTGAGCACTTCTATGGCTCCCATCTTCTTCATGGAATTGGCAAATTGTGGGATGAAAGAGTTGGAGATATGCAGTCGTCCAACAATCTTAGCGGAATCACTGTTGGTTAGAAGTGCAGCATCAGATACGAACAGACCCTTGTTCTCCAACAGGGTTTGGTAGTAATGTTTATCAAATGTAAGCGCACTTTTAGGATCCATTGCCACGATGGTCGCGGGGTTGGCCGGATTAGGGCACCGCTTCTTCAAGAATTCGGCGTATGATGGGTCCAAGGAAGGATCTTGATCGCCATGTCCAGAGAAGTTATAAAGCCTTGGTGAGAAAGTGGCACAGTGTGCAACTCCAATAGTATGTCCACCTGCACATGTTCAATAGTAATAGTAATTATGGCCCAAATATGCGTTTTTAAAGGTGCATTAAAAACACATTAATTTTATTTTTTTATTAATTAATATTATGCATGAGAAAATAAAAAATTAAATTGTTTAATACTAATGCTGTGGATGATTTTGACCCATTTTTTATTTTTTAAAAAACAATTAATAAGAAAAATGTGTAATTAATACACTTTAACTAAATTTTATTTTAGATCTTGAGATTAATCATACCTGATAGAAGGACAAGGTCAGTAAGATTAAGACCTTTTCTGTTGAATAATTGCATAAGAGTGTTGAAGTCTGAGAAGGGGGAAGGAATGTTTGCAATAACGTCTGATGCGAGAGAGATTCGCCCGTCTCTTCTTCCAGTAGGCACCTCCCATAATGAACAATTGATGAATTGTGAGATTCTACCGCCTTTCTCTCCTCTGTTGTCTCTCTCTTTTCCGTCTTCATCACCCTCTCTTCTTCCAGTAGGCACATCCCACAGTGGCCAATTATACTGTAAGTAAAGGTGGAAATAAACAACATTTGTAGCTCATAAAATTATTTCATGGAAATTATCCAACATATATATATGATGTTCTTCCTTAATGAGGACTTTAGCTGCTCAGCTTACCAAGAAAGAAACAGAATCACGAGCAGCTAGAGCAAGAATATCAGCACAAGAAACAGTATTAGGACAAAGTAGCTCAATCTGAGTCTTGATATAATCAATCACATCGAAACCAGATAAGCTTAGATTCGGTACTGCTTCCTTCTCTGCCTTTGCATTATTATCGACTGTATCCAATAGTATAGATGCATCACAACCCTATAAAGAAGAAGAAGAAGAAAAAAAAAAAAAACAGTTTTATGATATCATAAATATCTAATTACATGAAATATTAAGGTATGCATAAGTAAAATATATACCCTAACAAAGCAGTCATGGAAATGCATTCTGAGAAATTTCGCAGGTAAAGCAGGATTAGATAGAACACTTCTCTGTATAATTGTTTTCACAATCAGCTCAGCTAGAGGGCAACTTTCTTGGTAGAAGTTCATCTTCAACCCTTGTGCATTACACTCCCCTGCAGCTATCCAAACTGCAATGAGAAGAACAACGAGCTTGAAAATGCTAGGTCTCATTCTGTTCTGATAATTGGCAACGAAGAAGGAGGAGGAGGAGAAGAAAGAAGCACAAAAATGAAGTTAAGCTGTTTAGATAGGTAGTGATGAAAGGTGAAGAAGAGGGTTTGGGTTTTATAGAGGGAGGAAGTAAAATTGTGTAAGAAACAAAGGCAGCTTTTTAGTGATGGAGAGAAATATAAAATTAGTTCCAAGTAATTGTGTCAACGCAGAGTGACCCATTTGTTTATTTCTCCAAATCCCAACAAAACCTGTTTCACGTATCTTCTAACTAATTTTTTGAGAAATCTTCTAACTAATTAAATAAACAAAAATTTCAGGATCCTTCCTTTATTTTTTTTTTACTGAAAAAAGTTTAATTAGTTATTTATTTATTTTTTATTTTAATTACATAATAAGAAACAATTATATCATATTTTTTTATTTTACTTCATCACATATGATTTAAACTCAGATTTTTTACTTTTAATAAAAATAATTATCACTAAAATATTTAAAGCATTGACAGTTATTTATTTATTTTAAATAAAAAAATAGTCCAATCCAAATCACGTTCGTTACAAAATTGCATCCCAATTTGTTTCGAACATTCTCCCGGTTCTTGTACCCAATTCATAAAAGAAAATTTGCGATCCTTAGCTCTTGCTTTAATCCAATGAAACGTTCCTAATTGGACAAGCTCGAATGCTTTCCCAATATCCAATATTGCCTTTGAAGGATCCTTCCTTTAATTAATTATACATGAACCTGAGTCCAGGACCCGTTTTCAAGGCACCATTTCTAATTTGACCTCATTTCTAGAAATTAATCTTGTTTGATTTACCCATAAAATTGGGAATTAGTTGATAATAAGATTTATTTTTTACTTCATTAATCAAAATTTAATTCTTTCGAAAGATTAATAATGAGGTAATTTTTTTTATAAATTTTTTTAATTTTAAGGTGAATAATTTACTTTTAATTAAATAAAAAATAAAATAAATTAATTCAAAAACACTTTGACCACTTAAAAAACTGTTTCATTTAATTAACTTGAAAATTATAATTTGCCTATTTGGAAAAATAAAAAATAAAAAAGAAAACCTGAAATAATAATTATCAGTGCTGCAGCCACGATATATATATATATATATTAAAATTCTATAAATAGAATCATCAATGATAATA